TTGAGGAGAAAGAGAAAAAAATATTTAGAAACCATCAGAGCAGAGTTCGAAAACAAAGTGTATCATTCACACACTAGATAATACAACGAGATGTTCTGTATTGTTCATGTTAAATACAGTTATATTTGTACTTAGTCTTATATGTATCTTAATCTCCTTTTTACTACATTTTTAAAATCCAGCAAATGTGGTGTTACAACTAAATAAAGAAGATACATTAAAGTTTGCCCTTCATTTTAAAAGATTAGTAGTTAATCAACACAAACTCAGTAAATTCATATTCAGACTTTAACATTGATCATTTTAAAGTATGATGCTGTTAAAATTGTTTTTAAATGTTAGTAAGTAGTAGAAATCAATATAGTAAAACATTTTACAACAAAAATTGTCTGCTAAAAAACAACTTGTTAAGAAAGTAGATGAACAAAATCCAACATGTTAAATATCTTCAAAAAGTATAAGAAATAAAAGATTAACGTATTACATAAATATCTGTCAAAATGAAGTAGAAACAAAATAATCGCTTACGTTTTAAGAAGAGATTTAAAGTACTTACTTGTCACAATCAGCTTGGTTCCTTGTCCGAATACCACAGTGATTCAGTTGGTACACATGGCTGTACAAAAACCTCTCGACTCGCTCTGATGACGGAGTGGAACTGAAAGATCCTGTTGAGACCAACTTTCATTGTCAACATCTCACTAACTTCATCAGTTTGATTTGCTCCAGACTGAATTGTCTCTTCACAGGAATTGATTTGTTGTCCTTCAATGTTTTGAAGCAGTTTCTCTCATTTGATGTGTCTGATTTAGCTGAGAATCAATAAATCTTCAGTAGGTCTCTGATGGAGGTTTTTGTCACAGTGTGAACCACTGTGATACAGCTTCACTAGCAGAGCCATCCCATGTCCGACAGTAATACTGAGCAGAGTCTCCTGTCTCTGAACGCTTTATGATGAACTGGTATTCTGTGCTTGAAGAGGATTTAGAGTTGAACCGGTCTGAAGAGAATCCTGATCCAAAGTCTGGAGCATTGTTCCCATGGAGAAATCTGAGAACATACTGAGGAGCTTCACCAGGAACCTGTTTATACCATGACACATAATATCCATCATATCTCTGAATGTTGCAGTTGAGGACAACCTCTTGTCCTGTAGGAACTGAGTGGACAGCAGGCGTCTGAGTCAGCACTATCGCTGCATCAACATCTGTCAACACACAGAGAAAAGTCAGGGGAAAGGTTTGTGCATGAAAACATGGAGCATGAAATGAATGAATGAATATCTTACATGTGAGAGCAGTGAGCAGAGTGCAGAGGATCCCCAGCATGTTGTCAGTGTGAGCTGTAAAAGTTCCTTACAGTCCAGCTGAGAGGTGAGCAGGGCGGGAGTGTGAGGAGAAGAAACACTGAGGCTTATAAAGACAGTGAGGAGGAGCTTAAACACTTGATTCACTTGTTACACATAAACACACATCGTGTGTGAGTCACATGAACACTTTTAATGAATTCTGTTGATCAAAAAGACGTGTTTGTTGTCTTTGTAAGTCTGCTAATGTCATTTGAGTATTATATCCAGTTATGGAATTACTTTAATTAGATATTTGTAATTTTTATTCAGTATTCAGTGGGTTCATAGTTTTAGAGTCAATATTATTGTCATTTGTTTGTCCTCGTTGACGTTAACAATGATTTGTATTTGTTTTTTTATTGAAGAACAGATAATTCCACCAATCCATGTACTTACTCTTAGTAAGAATATTTATGAAAGTTCTAAGCATCGTTATTGTCATGGAGGATGACTCCAACACAATAATCTGGATAATTGGGGTCCAAGAACCGAACCCTGTGGGACTCATGGGGATCAGCTGAGATCATAAACTGAGTCCAGTGTTTACTTTACATGCCGTGTGTTCCATTAAGAAGAGACATTATTATATAATGTTAACAGTTATTCTTCAAGAGACAAGGTGCAATTAATTATAACATGTCTTTATGTCATTATCATTTACATGTGAGCTCATCTCCTTCTTTTTGTTGGATTGTAAATGTGGCAAACTATTAATAACTACCACTAAGTAACATTTCAGAATTAAATAAATAAATGTAATTATGAGAAATATAAGTTACAGAAATTGACTGATGTCTTCACTCAAAATGTGTCAGCGTCTCAAAAAGCAGAAGTACTCAGCGAAGAGGTTTTTGTCACAGTGTAAATCACTGTGATACGTACTCTTTAACAGAGTTGTCCCATGTGTTACAGTAATAGACGGCTGAGTCTCTGTCCTCGATGTTCTTTATGGTCAAACGATAATCTGAAGTTGACTGATGAGTGGATGTGAACTTTGGAGATGAGAAACCAGTGCCGTATGTTGGAGAGCCGCCGCTGTGATAATAATATAATACAAACTGAGGAACTCCTCCTGGAATCTGTTTATACCAGCGAGCAGCAGCGTTAGTCCCGATATTACAGTCTATGGAGACTGTCTCTCCTGTCGTCACGGCTACAACAGGCTTCTGTGTCACCACCGTCACACCACTCACACCTGGAAACAACAAGACGACATGGAGTCAAGAGAAACACACACACTGATGAGTCCACCATGAAGTCCAAGCTGCAGGAAGTCAGCCTCCTCACATGTGAGAGCAGTGATGAGAGTGCAGAGGGTCCCCAGCATGGTGTCAGTGTGGGATGAGAATGGCCTTGTGACTTGGAAAGAGACCTGACTGCTGCCAGATTAGAGGCTTTGGAGGATGAGGAGAGGAGGTGCTGGGGGAGACATTTAATACGACACTGAAGCTGGGAGTGACTGACAGGGGGAGGAGCTTAGCTTCAACCTGCATGTTTCTCACAGTTGTGTTATTCGTCAGCATTATTATCAGTGGAGGTTATTTCCCTCAACGCCTTTGCAAAGAAGTGATCTGAATATATTTACCTGCAGTTTTGTAGTAATACAGTTAGTCCTGTTTGTATGGTTTGGAATTCATGGCATACATCCCAATTGTGTATATTAAACTTTCTTTAATAGTTTAGAGGAATATTATTTTTTTCACGAGTTAAAAGAAGAGTCACCTTGGCAAAATGTCGCTTTTCTCAC